GTAAGGGTTCGCCGCATCTCGTAAAAGTGGACGACATGGTACGGAATGGGCACCATGCTGTCCGCCGTACCGGCAATCTCTCCAATCGGTAGATTGTCCGCCATCAACATCAACGAGACTCTTCGAGACTGGGGCGCCGGGATACGTGGTACGGAATGGGCACCATGCTGTCCGCCGTACCGGCAATCTCTCCAATCGGTAGATTGTCCGCCATCAACATCAACGAGACTCTTCGAGACCAGATCTGGGCCCCCGACGTGGTACGGAATGGGCACCATGCTGTCCGCCGTACCGGCAATCGTAGATTGTCCGCCATCAACATCAACGAGAGTCTTCGAGACTGGGCCCGAAGACGACGTGGTACGGAATGGGCACCATGCTGTCCGCCGTACCGGCAATCTCCAATCGGTAGATTGTCCGCCATCAACATCACGAGACTCTTCGAGACTGGACCTGGGCCCCAAGGCGACGTGGTACGGAATGGGCACCATGCTGTCCGCCGTACCGGCAATCGGTAGATTGTCCGCCATCGACATCAGCGAGATTATTCGAGACATGGGCCGTCGACGTGGTACGGAATGGGCACCATGCTGTCCGCCGTACCGGCAATCTCTCCAATTGGTAGATTGTCCGCCATCAACATCAACGAGATTCTTCGAGATCTTCGAGACCAAGGGCTTGCTAAAAATCCCAGCATATCTACTTTGGTACGGTGTGGGCACCTGGCTGTCCGCCGTACCGGCAATCTCTCCGATTGCCCGCCCTTGCTGCATAGTAAATCCCTGTTGCTGGGGAGTGTGGTGGCGTGCACACACCACACATTGAAAAGAAGATCTGCCCGTGGTTGCTTAGTCTTGCGCCTGTGCTTGTACGGCTCCACAGCTGGGCATCATCGCCGTGGTTGTGGACCGAGCTCCCACGCTAACCACGAAGGCAGGCTGGCTGGGTCGTTCGTGCGGCGACATGCGTCACCTCTTGATTCAAATAACAAATTTAAAGGGACCCTCTCACCTCGAAAAAGTTAACGAATTGGCATGAAAGTGATGTATCTTGGTTCAGAAAGAACAAACATGAATATCCACCAAATTTCGCTTAAAATATTGCTCGTTTTTTTTTTTGGCCATAAGCAGACTGGTTATTGATTCACCTTTTTTGGATCGATTCAATCATTGATTCATTTGTTTTTTGTTTGATTCAATCACTGTTCGATTCCTTCCAAAAAAATTGGTGAATCGATTCCTTTTGATTCAGAGAATGAGAAAAAAGGAATGATTCACGTTTGATTCAGCCAAAAAGTTATTGAACGATTCTTTTTTTTTCATTATATTTAAAAATAAAGATAAATATCAGGGATAGTATTGTATTTGTTGTGTTCTTTTTGTTGGTATGCAATTATCATCACATGGCAGTAGTGTTAACATTTGTTGATGAACTATGTTCGCTTCATTTTTTTTTTTAAGGTTCATGAATCGTTAATTTGTTTGATTCAATCAACCCTGATTCCCAATGAGTTTGATTCAATCATGGCTTAAAAATCAAACCATCCGGACGGTGAATCAAACCTTTCGACTCAATCACGGTGAATCAAACACCAGTCTGGACATAAGACTTTAACTTTTTTCCCTTTCCAGGGCCTTACCTGTTCCTATGACGTCATTTGGAAGCAATAATGTGGTATCTTGAAAGTGCGGGATATGTCACGCGCAATTTAGTATCTATAAAACCATGGCAAAAATTGTCTTACCAAAGTTTAAGTAAATCGGTGATGTCACACATTAAGAGGGGGCATCTAAGTGCATTAGCCCCTCTGAATCCAAAGTGCTGCAACTTTGAATCTAAATATTTTCGATCTAAGGCATTTCTCGATGTTGCGAGTGCCGAAACCGGTGATTTCCAGCCAAGGACCCCAATTTGGGTATCTCAACTCAAAACTAATGTTAACGTGCCTCCCACCTTAACATTAGATTTGAGTTGAGATAGCCAAAATGGGGTCCCTGGCTCACAATTACCAGTTTCGGCACTCACAACATCGATAAATGCCTTAAATCGGAAATATTGAATTTCAAAATTGCAGCAATTTGATTCAGAAGGGCTAATGCATAGGAATACCCCTCTGAATGTGTGACGTCAGCGCAGATATCTAACGAATTTTAAATGTTTGACTAAAACGTTTTGTAGCACGTGGTGGTATATGTTGCTTTGAGCTGCCAAACTATTGCTTCCAAATAAAGTCGCTAGGAACAGCGGAGATCCCAAAAAGTAAACAAAAGTAAAAGTCCAATATCTTGAAAACCGGTGAATATTTTTCGGTGAAATTTGGTAGATATTCGTTTTCGCTCTTTCTGAACCGAGCGACATCACTTTTATGCCAATTCATAAACTTTTTTGAAGGTGGGAGGGTCCCTTTAATCGTATTTGTGTAAATTAACGTATTCTGTCAAATACCGGCGTCCTATTTTTGTGCCGTCCATTCTTAAAATCATCAGTTCACTTGCAGACGATGATTAGAAGCTTTGCTTCCAATGGAATGCACGAAGCAATGACTGCATAATGCATTCTTTGTTTTAAAAACAAAACTGTGCAATAAAAATTGCACAAAACTTGTTCGATATCTAATCTACCTTTGGTGGCTTCAGCTTACCTGACAGTTCATTTATGTATCCACATTGCTAGGAAGCATATCATCCGTCTAATCCAAACATAAACTATTCTCGTTGTTGAAACTGGTGACGCACAAGCTGACGTAACGTTAGTGGAGACTTCATCTCAAAAAACAGCCTGCATGGGCTAAAATCCCGGGGGGCGCGTATGGCTCGTATCATTTGCGAGGCACGCGACGGGAGCCTTGAGGAGCTTTCCATGCTAAAGCGCCTCTAAACCCAGGTCTCACTTGGAGATCGATCTCACTCGGAGATCATGAGTCTGTTGTAGAGTGGCGTCATTTTACGTCCAGTCCACCGAACCAGTGTGCACAATTGCTGGCGGTGGATACCAGACTCCCCCCACGGGTCGTCATGTGCGAGGCAAGGTCGGGGATAAGATATCACGGCAGCAATTGAAGATAAAATTGAGATTCTTTATGTAAATGCTATTAGGCTGCTACATTTGCACAATGAGTGAGTGCAAAGCTTCTCTTTAATTGATATTTTTCATTATTCAAGCATACTATTACCTAATACGTCTGAGTCTACATTCACTTTATCCACGAAAATGCTTCAAAATCGCATTTTTCGTCGGTAAATAGCATTGTAACCTTGCGTCAGTTGACACACGCTTTCACTGCCGCATCCGGACTCTCTGTGCATATTTGTCTATGCATCATGAGCTTAAGTATTGTTTCCTTTTTCGTTAGATCAAGCTTCAACTTCTAGCGCTTAATCGCTCATGCCAAGCAAAGTTTGCGGACTTGTTAAAGGTTAAAAGAAAATATATTTCCTTCAACAGATGTCTATAAAATGAGGCTGCAAATGAGCGGTTTTCTTCTGGCAATTATGGTACTATAGCACGTTGCTGATGGAAGGCGGTCAAGAAAAAGATTATTTGCAGTTGTGCCTCATCGTCACTTATTTGCCAAATGAAATTTCAATTGCTGCTGTTATCCCCGGCTATAGTGTCTACGGTGGCGAGCTTTCTCCGCGGACCTTCAACTTCAAGACCTTCTACTTCAAGACCTTCAACTTCTAGACAACTAAAGGGATATTCTCGTCATACTGTACTCTCGATGACGTGCATGTCGGGTCATCGACATGCATGTTCAATACCATTAGTGCACATGCTGCACCAGACTATATTTACGGACGTTGACTGTTTGCTTTAGGCACTGTTTCAAGCATTGTACGATGGCCGATAACAAAAGTATTTGTTAACGTTTTCAAGTTCCATTCGGAGTATCCGAAACTACGACGCAATGTTAGTCGGAACTAACGTATCTAGTTAATCAGGTTATCGCATGATGTTCTTGCTCATTGGCAAACATTATTTCAGCAGTCGATACGTCCTCCAAACTTCAGTAACTGTTTCTATAGTCCCCGTTCGTCACAAACAACCGTTGACATTTCGTCAACCTTAAATTCGAATATATTAACCGTTTAGACGCACGAGAATATCCCTTTATCCAAACTAGCTAGTGTGTCTACTGTTTTCTTACTAGGCAAACAAAAGTTTGTCACAGCATGTGCGCAGTTCACTTTACCTATGTGCATTTATACTAAAAGCCATTCGTCCACAAGCAATGCATTTGCGCTATTGACGCAAGCTTTCATGAAGGCCAAACCAATGCTGATTCGTCAATGCTGATCGTCAGCTTGAAAGTAAAGATGAGCAAAGTGGTTCAACTGAATCTTATGGTTGCAGTAGGGCATATTAGACGTAAGTGACAAGTATGTGTCAGCAATTGCTTATGCTTCTTAACCCTAGAAAATTTTTATTCAATCCTTTTGGTGATGACGTAATGTGACAGAAAACAGTAGACACACTTAACCTCATCGGGAACCCTGAATGTATGGAATTTTTGAGCATAGGTGCCTGTGAGTGTGTAAGGGTGGATGTGGGTGTGTGAGTATGTATGTGCGTATGTGAGGGTGTGCGTATGTGTCATCTTACACGTAATTTAGTGAATGAGTGCATAGGTACTAGCTTCCAAGTAAATACGTGGATGAGTGCGTGTAGTCAGTGGTGTATGGAACTCGCATTGTGCCTGCCTGCTGCCAACGAAATATGCAAGCCCACACAGAGAAAACAGTTTTGTTGTGCGAAACTTCATGCTGCTGGCAGGATTTACATGCAAGTCACATATTGCAGGTCTACCATAAGCAGAGCGATGTGTCATCTGATAGGTAACTCACAACAACACATACTCTGCATGTCCAGGGAAAGTGAGTTGTGCTCGGAACAGATTGGCCAGACAGTTTTGTCCTATCAAATTCAGAATTGTTTCATCCTCCTCACAGTTGCCATTAACATCAGGAGCACACATTATTGCTAGATCTGAATGCCAGCTACCTATTGCACTGCTGGCACGTAGTTGGAGACAAAGGTGCCGCCAGTTTTCCAGCTCGCTGTTGATACAATGCAATACTGGTACAAAATGTCCGTATTCTGTGTTTTTAGTGTTGTATGTTTGTATATGAGTCTTGCGTCGTATGAACATTACGTACATGAGTTTAAAGTGTTCCCGCGAAAGTAGGTACTGAATTAGCTCACGCCAGGATTGCGTTGCGGAGATATTTGTAGCCCATACAATGTTTTATGGCGTCATTTACGACACTTTCTGTTTTTCTTGTCATTGTATGCACGTGAGTAGTGCCGCATGTTGCGCTTGCAAATCATGTTCTCAATGCCATTTTCTTTTGGTACAATTGGTCACCACTACATATCACTCGCATACACACGCCCAAGCAAGTCCGATATCAATCACTGTCCAGAAGTGCATGATGCATTCAACCACGCATAGAACACTGGCACACCAAGAACATGAACTCACGCAAAAACGAGAGGACTATTACACGACTTCGCATTGGACACACCGCTATCACACACAACTACATCATCACAAGAAGCCCGAGACCGAAATGCAACACCTGCAACACTTTCATCACTGTCAAACATCTGCTACTCACATGCCCACAATACCAACACCACAGGACAAACATACAAACATACTGCAGAGACGCCAACATCCCACTAACACTCACAACACTGCTCGGGGACTTACACCCCGAGCTAACAACACTACTCATCCACTACATACACAACACTGGGCTGATAAATGACCTGTAAATCTCCTCCCCTAGAGCCAAGGACAAAAAAGCCAAAAAAAGCCAAAAAAGAAGCCAAAAAGAAAAAAAACATTCAAAACAATGAGAATCAAAATAAAAGACCCCAGAATGGCAAAATGGCAAAAAAAAAACAAAAAAAAACAAACAAAAAATAATAATAGAAGGGGCAATCCGGCTACCCGGGAGGAGATAGCTAGGAACCCTGACCCACCCCTCAGCCCACCCTTACGAGCCAAGAAGACGACGGACACTTCAAGACAATGGACGGACCAACAACGAAGACGGACGACAGAACCGGGCCCAAATACAGAACGCTGTGGTGGCCCGTAAGCCACAAATACCATACCATACCATACCAGTGCATCATGCAGCAGAAGAAGCTTCATTGAACACACTCGTCATCATGAACGGCATCTTAGGAGCTTCATGAGTTTGGATCTGTGAACAGTAAGTGGAATGGGAGCATAATGGTACACGCTACCAAACCAGATTTTTTATAAACAAAAACATTACGTTTATTACCGTTTGGAGGTGATTTGTTTTATTTGGTCATTGTGTCAATGTCATGTTTGATCATATAGGTAACGAAAAGCGTACCTATTCAAAACGTTTATTCTTTGTCATGATGTGCCTGCAGGTTGTTTTCGCAGTATCCAATAGCAACCGTGTATGACCAGGCGCCCCTTGGACGCCTTGTCTAGCCCCGTCTTCCGGGACTGTGTGATGACTGCCTTTGCAATCTCAAGTGCCAGTTTCTGCCTCCGGCCTATTTCTTTATCAAAGGATGTTGGTAACTGAACGACCAGCTCTGCTCCAAGATTCCAAATCGTTTTACGGTATTTTATGCCTACAAAACGTTAATATTTGCTGGACGCGTTGATGCCCGAATAGGATGACCTTTATTCCTAGATACAGGCATTCAACGTTGAATCAATTACGCTTCTAGCCTTCTGTTTATTGGCTTTACATACTTTTTATTAATATTTATCATGTGTCTAGCCTGCAATTCATTTTACTCACCACCATCGGACGTTACAACTATAAGCTTATAACTACTATATACAACTATAAGCTATAAGCAGCTATTCGCTGACTTGACATATGATATTTTCGCGACGACTCGTTTCGCCCTTCCGCCATGTTAACTAATCATCCGTTACATCTTTATGTCAACAGGTATAGTACAAGTCATCCTTACCGTCGATACCGTAGAAGAATTTGCCGTCGACCACGGAAAACATATTGTGCTTCCCGTTGCTGGTAATTTTGTATTTGTCACTTAGGTGACAGTTACTATAGTTCGTTTTCTTTTTAAAGTTCGGCCCTGACTGTAAACATCTTTTTGAACACAGCACGAGAATTACTGAGAAAATTGGTTAGCGCCCATTGATACCGTTGTGTTAAACGCGGTGCGATTTATTAATTAGTTCAGTTATTACTCCTGACAAATCGTCTATCCCTGTGGGGTTGTAAATATGAGCAAATACGAGCTGAGGGGTCTGGGAAATAGGAGCCAGAAAGAAATAACTTTGATAAAGTTTTTCATCAGTGAAATTCAACGTGCGACAACCATTTTCCTCTTCTTAGTAATTCAGCTAGCAATTCTCGTGCTGTGTTCGAAGAGACGTTTACAGTGAGGGTCGAACTTAGGACGAACTATGGCACCTATCAGCAGATATACGTTCATAATGCAACAAGGGAACGAAAAGCGTGTTCAAAACTTAAACTCATTGTCCTTATGTGCCTGCAGGTTGTTTTCGCAGTATCCAATGGCAACCGTGTATGACCAAGCGCCGCTTGGACGCCTGGACGCCTCGCCCAGCCACGTCTTCCGGGACTGTGTGATGACTGCCTCTGCACTCACAAGTGCCAGTTTCTGCCTCCGGCTTATTTCTTTATCAAAGGATGTTGGTAACTGAACGACCAGCTCTGCTCCAGGATTCCAAATCGTTTTACGGTACCTTGTCCATCACCATCAAGAGATCAACATTTTTGCAGGCACTTACGTACGGCTGGTATGTATTCATATTTGATTGTCAGCACGTTGTAGAATGCTTTACATTTTGTGTGATCATTTACTGTCCTCTTTCCTACACAATGCCAACAACAATGATGTTTGTCATCGTTTGCATGCATCTATTGGGATTGATGTTTGCGTTTACTGACAGACGCTTGTCAACATTTTCAGTAGTGTCCGGCGCGATGCTGAATGCGACCTGTTATCTGTTGGATCTACTCTGTGAGCCCAGACCCCAGTGCAAGTGAGTTTTTTGTCACACCAGTGCCGGATCACTCTGTAATATGTGCAAGAGCCTGTGACTTTGTTTGCTTGGCTAACTAAATGCATACCTACGGAAAACCCTTCCAACGTTGCTTTGGTTTTTAGTAATTTACTGTACTTTTAAAGCAGTGCCTACACATATCAATCAAATACATTCTAAATACCTTAACCCTCGCCCGTATTGGTGTTTTTCCAGCCGCGAACGTATAAGGGGGGGGGTCCGTTGGACCCCCCCCCCTTGCCGTTTCGCCCCTGATCGAGCTAGAGCTTCGCGGAAAAAACAAGCGTGTTGCCCGTGACGAGAGGAAGCCGATGATACCTAATTTTAAGGTCCTAGGTCATTGGTTGACCTTGCAGGTCAGGTCAATGACCCAAAAGTCGGGAAAATCGGAACCTGTTAGAACGTCGTAAAGTGTGGCTGCATTAGGGTTTTTCGGGGCGCTGATCACGAATATCATGTTAGTTTTGATCACAGATAATGTATTTATGCATTTAGTCCAGGTCGGGTCAGGTCAGGTCAGGTCAACCAGTAGGGGTCCTGCCGGGTATTCCTAGTAGGTGTCAACCGCCTCTAACAGCTTCGTAACATGTTACGAAGGCACCAAAACTACTTCGTAAATGTTCATATAGTTGCTAAATTCGAATTCAGCTAAAAAACTGGCCTAGAAACATGTAAAACTCGAAAAAGTGAACCGAGGTCACCAAAGGTCAATGACCTGACCTGACCTTCAGGTGACCTGGACACCCACCCTAATGAATGGGGGCAACATCATATCACATGTTTGAACCCTTGAAACCACGAAAAGACTGCAAACGCGCGGCTAATGCGAGCCGACATACGCCGAATCGCGATTCCGGCCAAACATGGTCTCGAAAAGTAGGTCACAGGTCAAAGGTCATTGGGGTCAGGGTCATGAAATTTTCAGGGTAGGTGTAAAATTGATTAACGCGAGGGTACTGAAAGTTTCGTCGCGATCGGCCGCTTTTTACGCGAGTTATTCGCGAAAAACCATGGGGGGGGGGTCCGTTCGACCCCCCCCCCTATACGGGCGAGGGTTAATATGGTCCTTTCCATAACCATCTAACCGAATTCCCGGTATTATTTTTTTCTGAAACCTTCTCCCTTGCTGGCAGTGGCACTGTTCAACTACAGCGCTGGACGTCGTCTACTTTTTGCTAGAAACAAATGTCATCACCCGTCCATGAACTTCGGGCTGCTCACAACTATATTGCCTTGGCAAGTTCTTTAAGACTTAATACTGGACTTGGGCTGCGAAAGCTAATGACAATTTGGGCAGCTTGATATTGCAATGGCTATGGTGCGAAGGTCCAATATGGCGAACAGCTCGACTATTCACCATTGTCAACGCTTATGATAGCTAAATATCATTTTGCTTGGTGTACATTCACGTCTCGTTTCCTTGCTCCATTTGTACCTCACCGGTCTTCCGTCACACAGGCTTCGGCTGCAGCACAAGCCACATTCATCGGCCTTATCATCAGTTATTCATCCTGCAAGTTTTAAGTCACTTCGTTGTGACCCGGACATCGTCATCTTTCAACGACTTCAAATGACATTTCATTCATCATCGTCGATCAGACTCATCATGTAAAGACACTTCCATAATGCTATCTGCCATCTACGTTTGTGCAGGAAGCAAATATCAGGTTGTTATTAGCTGCGGGCTACTCAGTACCGACTGAACTACTGGCAGTAGTGTGCGAGCACCTAATACTTGTATTGTGATACCAAAGCTAAAACAGATGATAGCTTAGCGTATAGCGCCCTACCGCTTTCCACACACACATAAACAAAACTTGACTTTGGGCATTAGCACCATGGCAGGATAAACAGGCAGTTTGGCTGTTTTTCACTGCTTTCATTGGCAGGTGTTAATGCTCATTCCCGTTTCATGTGATGTTAGAACAGCCCTTCACCATAGTCCTGTTTTCTCCTTCGCTGTTTTCCATAGACATCAGATGCGACATGCACCCCAACGATCGGTCAGGCGCATCACCGTCAATCCGGTCGCCTGTCAATCAGTTCGTAATCACCGTCAGTCTTCGACATCGGCCAACACACTTATCCACATTATCGCCTTACTTTTGATCTTATCAATATGCAAGAATGAGTGCAAAATGCATTGCAATATTGTATCAGTTGATGTTGTATCGCAATGACAACGTATCCTCACCTCACATTTGTTGTGCATACTTGATCACGAATGCTAGTTGTTATACACAGATTCACATGGTGAAGTTTTACTCCGTTGGCGTTTTCTTTCCATTCTTGTAGTCGATCAAGAGCGATTGCAGTTGTACATGCGGCCTTACACATGCGTCCCTTCATGTTAGCTGATTGATATGTTGGACACATTCCTGTGATTCCTGAGTGTGGTTCCTGTGACTCCAAGTAGTTCTGCATTGGTATTGCTTCACTTATGTTGTACCCAAACATCGTTTCTAGTTTTGTCTTAGCTTGCAGCTGTATGCCATGAACACACAGGGTACTGCGCATCTTTATCGTGACATTACTGTAGTTTTGTCGCCTTCGCGGATGATTAGGACCATGAGCTCAGTTGCAGATGCGTCCAGCAGCCACCGACATTCTACATTTAGTCCTATTATCGGTTCTTATCCACATACCAACATGATTTGAACATTTCACACGTTTAGTGATGAAATGAACAGGTATCATCTACTACATTATATTTTCATGTAAAGCACACTACAGTCTGTGAAAAAAGAAAACTATTTGGAGCAACAATCATGCCTTAGACAGTATAGTTGCCATAGATATTACGTTGTGCAGCGGGCAGGCCGGTGCACGAAATGGCGAGTGTGAATGCAGGAATGCGTGTGAAAAACTGTCTAGGTGTGGAGTGGCTGGTTTGTCTTCCGTTACGTTGTAACGGGCTCTTGACGTAGTCTTTTTTTAGTGAAACTAATCATCTTTCGTACTTGAATTAACGTAATTGAAATTTGGCTATCACATTTGGAGCCAACTTATTTGCTGATTGCGTCAAGGGCGGGCAGCGCGGTGCGTGGATGCCTTTTGGTAAAGCTCACGTCCTAATATACTATCCTGCCCTTACCAAGCGTGCATCCATGTTTCCTCCATCCGGCTCCTCGTGCCGCTGCCTGGAATATTAGCCTACGGCTAATATACCAAGAGATGGAAAACTCTTCATCACTTTGGATGCCTTATCTGTCACGGTTATAGGGGAAGACGGGGGAACACCGACCCCCTTAACCTTTCAGGATCTAGTCACGTAATTTTTGGCCACATGGTCAATCTCTCAGTTTCATTGGATTGTCGCATCAATTTTACAAAGATATCAACTAATTGTTTTCTTGTAGTTTCATTCATAATTGCATTACTACACATTTAGTAATGTTTACATTTTGGGGGTAACACCGCCCATTGGGTAACAACGCCCGAGCTCATCAGACAAATATTATTCGCAGATTGCTGAACTATTAAATTTTCCTTCTTATCGTAAATTTCGAGGCGTTATTACGAGCGAGCGAGCGAAGCGAAGTCTTTTCAATATAACGGAAAAATCTCAGTATGAGCGGCCCGGCCCGGCCCGGCCTGTAACGCTTTTGAGAGGCATATATCTCAGCAACCGCTGGACCGATTGGCCTGCGGTCTTTTTTTTGCTGGGTAACCCCATCCCTTCTACCCCGTAATTGACTACTTTTGATACAACTCAGTGACCGTCGTGGCACGTGCCACGTGAAAAGTGTTCAGGCTGTTTTGCAAAAGTCGTGATTTTGAGAGGCTCATATCTCAGCAGCCACTTGGGCGATTGTCTCGCGATAATTTTTGCAGGGTAGCTGCCTTCTACCAACGATCGGATACTCTTGATCTATGTGAGTGACCCCCACTGCACGTGCTAAATACAGAAAGAAGAGGTGCCAAATTTGTTTCCATTTCAATACCTCGGTAATTTCTGGGGCGATTTCCCTGAAACTTGGCATACAGGTAGGCACCCACCAGGCAATGCATTCCCATGTGTTGCAGTTAGGGTGTTGCTGCACGTGCGCACGTGCAGGGGACGCTTCCAGATCTCGAGAATGGCTGGGCCGATTGCGCTCAAATTTGGTACACGGTTGGGGACCGGTTAGTAGGGTGCCGTGCAAAAGTCAGTTTGGACCCCGTTTGCACGTGCGCACGTGCAGAATGCCGCTTCCAGATCTCAGGAACGGCAGGGCCGATCGCGTTCAAATTTGGTACACCGCTAGCGACCGGTCAGAAGGGTGCTTTGCACAAGCCCGTTGGAAGTACCCTCTCGCACTTCCGCACGTGCAGGTCTCACTATCTCGCTCGCTCGTTCTTCGCCCAAAACAGGCGTTTTACTGGTAGTATTTTCATGAAGTGCAGTGGGAACCATTTTACTATATCCCTAGTACAATGTAGTATTCATTTATACAACTACAAAATTTATCAGTACTCATTTATCAAAGTCTCAAAATTTCATTTTCTCAAACTTTTTCATTACCCTCTGAAGAGAAAACATAGCAACAACGTTCTTTCTTTATTTGAAATGCGTCATTCTTACGTCAGGTATCACAATGTGCTATTAAATACCAGGGATGCAGCAACCCGATAAAAGTGACCGCAAGACAATCGCTCAAGCCGCTGCTGAGATATGGGCCTCTCAAAATCATTACTTTTGCAAAACTGCTTGAACACCCTTGACTTTTCACGTGGCACGTGCCACGGCGGTCACTGAGATGTATCAAAAGTAGTCAATTACGGGGTAGAAGGGATGGGGCTATCCAGCAAAAAAGACCGCAGGCCAAAAAGACCGCTCTCAAAATCATTACTTTTGCAAAACTGCTTGAACACCCTTGACTTTTCACGTGGCACGTGCCACGGCGGTCACTGAGATGTATCAAAAGTAGTCAATTACGGGGTAGAAGGGATGGGGCTATCCAGCAAAAAAGACCGCAGGCCAATCGGTCCAGCGGTTGCTGAGATATAAGCCTCTCAAAAGCGTTACAGGTCTTGCCGGGCCGGGCCGGGCCGCTCATACTGAGATTTTTCCGTTATATTGAAAAGACTCGCTTCGCTCGCTGCGCTCGCTCGCTCGTAACCAAACTGCCAAAGTGGGCGGTATTACCCAATGGTCTGCATTTTTCTTTAAAAAAAAAAAATCCTTCAATATTGCAGCACGACGAAAATGGCTCTCGAGCAGAAGTACGAAATGTTTGGATGGGCCATAATTACAGCAAAAAAAAAAAAAATACTACTTCAGGACTATGGTTTCTGCTAATTATGCTAGAAAAAATACCTTTAAAACGTATTCACGAAACGTAAATTTGGCATATATTGTAAATCACCTCAAACAATGCGGTGCACTGCCCATACCTGCACTTCTGTTGACGTCACGCTGCCAAAAGATGGTCAGATGTCGCCCTAGACCGTGGGGCTATTTGAGACAGTATTTAAAATCGCTCTAGAATGAAGATCGTTTGATTTTTGTGTGATATTTTTGCTCAGGGAGGTGTGGAATCGAGCAGTAAATCGCCTGAGCAAAAAAAGCAAGCATAGTTTTAGGTGGTTTTTATTTTATAGCAATTTTAAATACTGTCGCAAATAGCCCCACTGTCTCAAATAGCCCCACCTTACGGTATTTCTGATATCGGGGTGGGCGGTGTTCCCCAAAGGGCGGTGTTCCCCCGTCTTCCCCTGCCTATTAAAAAACTGCCGTATTTCGCATTGTCTGCAGATATTTTCCTACTTCCTTTTTCAGACCAGTCCGGGCCATCGGCTGGCCGTGTCAGTCGCTCCGGAGGGCTGTTCGGGTCCCTGCAGCATAGATCTGTGCTGCGTGCGTCATACCTTGGTGACGTCAGCCGACTGGCTCCGCCCACTCTCCGCCGGCACGCAGCGGCCGAGCGTCGCTGTATGTATGTATGTATGTATGCATGTATGTATGTATGTATGTATTGACGATCAAGAGCAATCCACAATCGGCGCGGCGATTACACTCCTGCAGCTTACTCCACGCGCAGGGAACCGTGGCGTGGGAGGATTGGAGATTGTCGCCCAAATAACGGTTGAATTCCGTTCAAATGTGGTTAGTTGCAATGTGCCACTAAAAAGAATGATCATGATACCCAAAAAACAGCATACAAACCGCTTAGGTACAATAAGAAATTTACACAGTAAACTTAAATCCGCGCCACTTTCGTCTCCTGCAGCACCGAAGTTCCGGCTTCACGAAGTATGCTTCAGTAGGTGACGTCACACAGGCGATGACGGAGTGGTATGGGCGGGAATAACGAGCGACGTAACCCTCACTGCACATGCGTGCTGCAGCATATATCATTTTGGCGGCGCAGCACAACAGCCCTCTAGGCGCCGCTCAGCTCCGGCAGACTAGACGTGACGAGCGCCCAGCGGCCCGGTACGTGCCCTCGCCGTGTTGCCTGTTCCATTTGCTTTGTCGAGTCGACCGCGCCCCGGCCCGGAATAGTTCAACTAGGCTAAAAACCACAGACCATCACCATCCGGCTGTCGAAGTCCACTAGCCCCCCCCCCCCCCTCCCCCAGGTCGCACCCCATGGTGACCAACAACGGACTCTGCTGCTCGATTGGCTGTTCTCCAATGAAGACAACCACTGGAGAGCGCTCAACATCCAGCTCAAAATGGTCTCCTGTGAGTTTCTACCTCGCTGTTTTTTTTTTTTTACCATGGCAAAGCATGTGTCGGTTGTAATGATTTTTATGAGTCGTGATTATCCTGGATCGGTAATTTTAATGCTTTATAGTTAATGGATAAATAAAACTGCGTCGTCAGCACCTCTAAAAGTCACGTACGGAATGTCGAATTAGGACAGTGTTGCTTGTCAGTGCCGTCCCGTCGGTGAACTCTGACCTCTTAATGACCCGCCCCTGCCGCCAGGTGTGGTCGAGACCGGTCTTTTCGTCTACATGGCCGTGCATCATCTTCGGCGGGCTGTACGGCACTGAGCAGCTGTTCGGAGACTGGACAGAGCTGAGGAGCTGCACTGAGCACTGTGCTTGGGACGTTACTGAGCCGCACTAAGTATCTGCACAATCCGGACCGAGCCGCTCTGAAGGCGGGTCGCTACTTCAACCGTTATTGGACTCTCTCCCAGCGCCGCAGCCGCCGGGCCCTCCACACAGTGGTCGGTTCGCACAGCCCTCACACAGTGTCTGGAGACGGCGAACGGCTCTGTGAGAAGGAGAACTGTAAAGGAGGCCACTTCAGTGTTTAAGTGGTGTTCTTGTGGTCTAAAAATTACCAGCTTTAAATGGCGTCGCTCCCAAATAAATACCAGTGTTCTGGGCAAATTCAGCAGTTAAGCTAATTTGTTCTCATTCGATGTCCGGAATGTCGACTTCTTTGTTTTAATGTCTCGAACCGATCATGACGTTGCTGTCCAACGCTCATGAGATAGAGATGGACCCGATCGGCTACGAGACCGAGTATTTGTTCTCATTCGATGTCCGAAATGTCGACTTCCTTGTTTAAATGTCTCGAACCGATCATGACGTTGCTGTCCAACGCTCATGAGATAGAGATGGACCTGATCGGCTACGAGACCGAGATGGACAACTTTGTCGTTTCGGGCGTCTGCAATGAGCAAATGTACGGCATGTGCGAGCCGCTCTGGGAGCCCGATCTCGAGCCGGACGATCTGTTCGAGACCATCGCTCAGGCGTTTATCAACGGCTTCGACCGTAACGCCGGCACTGGCTGGGATGCCATCGTACACGTGATTGAGAAGGAGAACACCGACGTCCGACATGGTGGCCTCTCAAATCAACGTTCTTGAGGAATGGAGGCTGCTGTTGCGCGCTCCAAGGGCGGTGTTAGCCATCAGACAGCGCATTAGGCTCTCAGTGACTGGCATGGGCTTGGGAATTCAGGGGCCTTCATAGGCGCTCAGATATATACCTATATATGTACGCTCTTAGACCGGTGTCGGGTCCTCCAAGGAAGTAGTTAAAGGAAAGCGCAGGGATTTAGGAGTCGTTGTAGGGATTTGAAAACCCTGCCATCATATAGCAATATGGAGTCCTTAGAGACTGCCATTCAGTCTCTGTGATTAGAGTGTGACCTAGCTTGATCTGAAAATGGGTATCAAAATGCTGGACTTGAATCAAAGGTCAGGTTATGGGGATCCTGTACGAGTTGTGACTTGTAGATCTCCTATCTGTAGCAACCTGCATTCAGAGCCCTGTGCAGATTATTGCAGATTACCTCAGAACGGTGTGAGGCTGCTTAGACTAGTATGGTGCTCGTGTAGGGATCATCTATGCGATTTGTCATTTCATGTTTTCATTTATATTGTCACCGCGTTATTAATCAATCAATTGCTGTCAATCGATTGTTATCAACCTCTTGTCAATTGTGCGTCAAGTTTGTTTGTTATTTGTAAACCGGCCTGCCGCTGACGTCAGCCTTCATGGGCCCTGTTATACCGCCCGACGCTGCGCGCGCTGCAGCGCGCTGGGAGCTGAGGCATACCCCTGACGTCACTCGAATGACGTTACGTGCGATCCGTCACCTTATGGTAAATCGCGTTTTGAACAGAGACCTTCAAGAACCTAGTACCAATTGAACAGAAGTTTGAGTGCGAATACTGCTAGCGTGTGGATGGTTCTGGCGCCGCGGTGCTAGCGTTTTGCGATGACGTCATAGCGTAGCGTCAGAGGGAAGTTTGTTGATATTGCCATGGAAACCCAATGCGCCGACGCGCGCAGCGCACTGCACAAGGCCCTATATACCCATGTCGCCCCCACTGCAGCGCTCCGCCGTGAAACAGGGCCCTAGTAACCGCTATGCCATACGCTATAGAACCTGTCGTGCAAAGGTCACGGCGGCACCCCTGAGGCGGCCGCTGCCCGTATCATTAGGAACCCATTGTCGTGACGTCATGACTGTGAACAAAGGTCGCCGTAGGGGCTCTCCCGGTAGCCGGACGGTGACGCGTACGTTAAGCTTGTTTCTCGCCGCGCCTGCGGGCATATTGCTAGTACCTACTAGGGACGGCCAGCATATGACCGCGGCTTTCGGCGACATTGTCAATTCGTTTTCGACTCTGCTGTTCGTTGTACCTACTCGACGCAAGTCAAATATACATAGAAAACGGCTCGGGCATTTGGAGAAGAGCGTCTACTCTGAGGCGAGGGAAGATCACGGAGATTCACTCGAACGACCTTACTAGGTCGCATCGGCCACAGCCAGCTAGGTAACCCCGCGTTCGATGTCTCTCGGACGACGAAGATTCTACATCGTCCGGCCAATCCCGTTTAAGGTCAGCGGGGGCTCGGCTGCGGTTATGGAACGTGACTGGCCGGACGACGTAGAATCTTCGTCGTCCGAGAGACATCGAACGCGGGGTAGGGCCCTGTCGGCCGTCATACGGCTCACGGATAGATTGACACAGACCGTCCCCTTAGCCAGCGCTACGTACAGCGCCCTACGACACTCGAAAGACCGGCTTGGACCCCCCCCCCCCCCAGCACTATCGGGTGACCTCACATGGTAAGAGGATTCTCAGATCGATTTGAAGCTCTTTTGGGGTGGGTATTCATGTGTATAGGTGTCCTGCAAACTGGACCCCTCTCACGAAATTATAGCCAAAGTCCTAGCATGCTTAGCTAATCCAAGCAATCTGAAACGCATTCATAGTAATAAGAAAATGGTAGAATAATGACACTCCCGTACATATAGGTCGGCGAGAGCAGTTCGTGTGTGTGTGTCACAACTCACAACATTATTTCTTGATCTTAAATTCCTTAGCCTTGCGGCTGTCAACACATTCTAATTTATTCAACACATTCTGTGAATGATTTAGTCATTCATACGCGAAAACAAGCTTTTAGGTATTTAAAATATTGGGGGGGGGTTCTGTACCCCCCAGGTAAATTATTGAGAGGGTCCATACCCCCGCTTACCCCCCTGTGGCGGAGCCCCTGCGCTCTTCGGAACAAGAAATGGAACATCTCTGTCTAGGATGATAGTTGGGCCATAAAAGCTTCGGATTTGTGCTAGTCTCAGCCCAAGCTACAAAACTGAGCAGTTTAGTACTATTCCAGCACTATTCCAGTTCAAAACCCTATGTTAAAGGTGAACGAATCCTTGCAGTGCAAAAAGTGCAAATCTCGCAGCGTACCTTAAGCTATGACCTAGGTGAGTCTCGAGTATATAATGTTAACCTGTTGATTCAATGTAGATAGTTAGGAGACAAACTTTCTCAGGGCCACAGCTTTATTAGGTACAATTTCCTCAAAAACATAAGCAGGGGCCAATAGCCTCACTCCACCGGCCACCCACACAACAGACTTAAGCATTTGCAAATTGCAGATGTGCATTCATGGTTTGATTAATTGGAAACTAGATTGTATTGTTAGGCAATGTTGTTGTGTCCTTCATCCTTAGAGATCTTGATGCCAAGTTTACTTAAGATGATTGAAAAAACAATAAGGATTTGTCTCTTTTTCATCTTTGCCACAGCTAATTCTGATACGCGAAAAGAGTAAATGCTTGATTGAAAGGCTTTTGAAAACTTAATAATCCATCTTCAATTCTCATTTGTAAACAATACGAACCAAAATAATTTCCTCTTTGATTGGTATAAACCAATCAAAATACCTTCTTGGTGGAGTGGAGAAAGGAAAAAAACTATCCATTGTAGCCTGTACGTTCTCCTAAGGTAAGTTCAAAGTCTAGCTTCTCGTACACTTGAATTTCACTGACACCTCTTGCTGTTGTTGACGAGTTAGGGCGCGTAGCACCTCTTGTCAGTTCACAGATTAACTTGAAATGTTTCCAATCTGTTCTTGTGCTTCATGCTACAGATGAGCATAAAGCCAAGAACAAATAACTTCTCAAAGCAACTAAATTGCCTTTTTTGTTGGGTTAAGCCATCTTGGTCAAATTAGACCGAGCCGAGCAATCGTTTTGCGATTTTGCTTAACGTCGCTTCTTATTTTGTAACAAACGCGCAGAAAATGTCTATATTGTTACAGCACTACATTGTTTTGAAAAAAAAAAATGCAACATTAGGAAAAGTTCAGCCCAAATGGCTTTACTTCTTGGTGGAATTGTGCAAAAAAAAGACCGCATTACATGCCGGCTGAAAGCAGTGTTTACTCCGAAAAAGACTCATACTTTTGGCGATCCATCCTTGCCCTTCAACGCAACTCGCTGTCCAGACGAAAATATGCTGAATAAATACCTACCGTAATGGCCTTGACCATAATAACAATGTTAACAATTGAACAAAAAAAAAATGAAAGGAAATTTACTAGCGTATAGCAAATTATGTCGTATCCAGCCAAGAGAGGTGCCTATCGTGCCTATTACCGACATGGATCACTTCTCGACAATGCATTAGGATAAAATTACTTATTTATTAATTTTCGTGGTGACCATAATTCAAAAATTACTTTTCTTACATGCTAGTTAAATTATTTCCATTACCGGAAATTGTAATGCTTTATTTTTTAAATACCCAGGTATCTTCGATTTCACTGCGCATGCGCTGGCAGCAGTATGCTGCTTTGCCGCCAAACTTAACTTCTGTTGCTGTCCGCAACTGTCCGTCCCAATACGGTCTTTACTGTTCACTTGTGTTCTCTGGGGTTTTTCGGCTGCAGTACGTTGCAAGAAGATGAAACCATTCGTAAGTTATTTATATAATGAATTGATTTCTTAACTTCATCGGAAAATGTCAAAATAAACCGTGGTAAATGTAAAAAGGGAATGTGACTTTGAATGCTGGGCTGTGACCAGTTTCCTATACCAACCCATACCATTATGTGACTAAGTTGTGGGTAGTCACAGCTCATAAGTTTAACGTAGCTCGTAAGTTTAACGTTGTGGGTTAGTAGATATACTGGCAGGGGCCGGGGGGGGGGGCAGGGGCCAGTGGGGGGGGGGGGGGCAGGGGCCGGGATCCGACTTTGGCCCGTTCCAAAGGCTGAGTTAAGGATTTTAATAACCCTCATCTTTTGCCGTCTCATGATAACAGAAGGTATTTTGCATTACTTTTGCATTACAGACATGCTTATGTATGGAAAAAATCGCCTCCCACATAACACACCCACATGGTAACCATATGGGTTTTAGATGGGCTAGGTGGGCTCACATGGGCATGGGAAATATATGGGCTGCCCACATGGTAACCATATGGGTTTTAGGTGGGCTATATGTGGGCTTATGTGATAAGGGGAGCACATGGGCTGCCCACATGGAAACCATATGGGTTTTAGATGGGCTGGACGGGCCCACGTGGGCATAGGAAGCACATGGGCTGGAATGCATGGTAACCATATGGGCTTTAGATGGGCTAGGTGGGCTCACCTCAGCAGGGGAAATACATGGGCTGCCCACATGGAAACCATATGGTTTTCAGATGGGATAGGTGGGCTTTTGTGGACATGGGAAGTACATGGGCTGGAATGCATGGTAACCATATGGGTTTTGGATGGGCCAGGTGGGCTCACATGGGCATGGGAAATATATGGGCTGCCCACATGGTAACCATATGGGTTTTAGGTGGGCTATATGTGGGCTTATGTGATAAGGGGAGCACATGGGCTGCCCACATGGAAACCATATGGGTTTTAGGTGGGCTGGACGGGCTCACATGGGCATGGGAAATATATGGGCTGCCCACATGGTAACCATATGGGTTTTAGGTGGGCTATATGTGGGCTTATGTGATAAGGGGAGCACATGGGCTGCCCACATGAGAACCATATGGGTTTTAGATGGGCTGGACGGGCTCACATGGGCATGGGAAGCACATGGGCTGGAATACATGGTAACCATATGGGCTTTAGATGGGCTAGGTGGGCTCACCTCAGCAGGGGAAATACATGGGCTGCCCACATGAAACCATATGGTTTTCAGATGGGATAGGTGGGCTTATGTGGACATGGGAAGTACATGGGCTGGAATGCATGGTAACCATATGGGTTTTGGATGGGCTAGGTGGGCTCACATGGGCATGGGAAATATATGGGCTGCCCACATGGTAACCATATGGGTTTTAGGTGGGCTATATGTGGGCTTATGTGATAAGGGGAGCACATGGGCTGCCCACATGAGAACCATATGGGTTTTAGATGGGCTGGACGGGCTCACATGGGCATGGGAAATATATGGGCTGCCCACGTGGTAACCATATGGGTTTTAGGTGCGCTATATGTGGGCTTATGTGATAAGGGGAGCACATGGGCTGCCCATATGGAAACCATATGGGCTTTAGAAAGGCTAAGTGGGCTCTGGGCATGGGAAATACATGGGCTGCCCACATGGTAACCATATGGTTTTCAGATGGGATAGGCGGGCTCATGTGGACATCAGAAGTACATGGGCTGGAAATGCCTGGTAACCATATGGGTTTTGGATGGGCTAGGTGGGCTCACATGGGCATGGGAAATATATGGGCTGACCACATGGTAACCATATGGTTTTCAGATGGGACAGGTGGGCCCATGTGGACATCAGAAGTACATGGGAGCTGGAAATGCATGGTAACGCGCGCAAACCGGAAATCCCGCCCGCCATTTGCAAACTATCTGCTCATGCGCAATGCGGTCCTTTGTTCTGGCGGGCAACTTTGCTAGTAGGTTTTAATAGTAGGATATGCTGACAACCTTTGTTTGACTTAATATGTCATCAGTAATCTAGATAACCTCATTATTTTAAATATGAAATGTAAAACGCAAGAACAAGGAAATATAAACAGTCATTTCGGGGATTATGGTGCTAGTTGATTTTGTATTTCGCTGACATTGGGTTCTGTTCTAGTATCCCTTTTTATTTTCTTTCTAAAAATATAATTTTTTGGTACTCATAAATAATAGCAATACAATAATAACAAAATTTCATTTGAGATATTATTCAAATTGCTTAGTAGGTTGTTGAAGTAACTAAATTCTACCAAATAGCACTAGGGGGCGCGCAGGGCGCGTTCAAGGCACGCAACTCACGCAGCCTACCAAGGCTATATAAACGCATCCGAGACGACGCCATTTTCTTTTTCGGCTGTGGCGCGTGCGGGTGAGCCTGGTTTACGGACGCGGGTCGCGCAGTACAAGTACAAGAAGTGTTTAAGCCTTTAGATACAAGTTTTGCA